GATCGGCTGACTAAAATGTCATGACCTGAGCAGTGACACTGAGTGGGGGAGGCTGCGTGAGAGAGGAGCAGAGCTGGGAGCAGGCAGCCAAAGGCCTCAGGGAAGCAGAACTGAAAGTTCTGTGCACCCTGGGGCAGCTGAGGATCAGGGCTGCGGGAGCAGAGGCAGGGCCTCGGCTGAGAAAGTTTCTCTGTCAGGCGCACCCTCCCAGGTTGGAACAGGCCCTGGAGCTGGGAGCCTCAGGGACTGGGCCAGTGTGCTCCAGGCTTGTCGACTCCGGCACCATGCTCTCCGCTTGGGCAAAGCAGCCCTGCACGTGGAGAGTTTGTGCTGCAGATGCCCTGTGTTTTCACTGTAGAAACGCTGAAGAGGAGACGTCTGTGGGCCTCCACTTTCAGGTGTTTTGTAAGCACCTGGGCGGCCCCCCAATGTTGAGGGTGCGGTCGACACTCCAGACCTTGGGGCTTACATTTAGGGCCAGGGGGCAGGCTTGTGTGGAACAGTGAAGGAAATGCACACTTTGGTGAGATAAAAAATAAACGAGGGCATGAAACTGCCTCAGACACGGTCCTCGGCATGCACCTCTGAGGTGACAGGAGCTGAGACCACAGGCCCAAGAAGGAGAAACCGGTCAGGTCTGAGGGAGGCAGCTGGGTCAGGCAAGGCCCTCCACGCCAGGACAGGAAGGAGGGCAGAAGGGCTGGACATGAGAGTGTGGGCATAGGTGGGCAGGACGTGGAAGGGGCTCAGACCAAACCATATAGGGTTCGAGGAGGGTTTGGGTGTGACAGGGCTGGGAGATGGCTTGCCAGCCTCACACTGCCTGAGGTGCAAGGAATGCACGAGGAGGGCTGGCAGAGGGAGACCTGGGTAGAACTTCAGCCTCAGAGTGGCATCAGGGAGACGAAGCCAGGGCTTTGGGGTGCATGTTGGAGAAAAGCTGGAGAGAGGTCCCTGGAGACAGCTGGGTCCGCCTCCTTCTAGGCCCCCAGCCCTGCAGCGTGGTCCCTGCCGGAGCTCAGGCTTCCTGAGGGAGCCCTTCCTGGGATGGTCTCATCCCATAGAAACGTCTCTTCTGACTCGGGCTGCACACTGGGGCTGGGTGCAGAGTGAGCAGAACGGAGCCAGGCAGGGGAGTGGGCGGCACAGAGGGAGACGGACCCACTGAGGCGGGCGCTGCCGGGCAACCAAGCAAGCTCGGCCGAGGGGTGACCTCAGACGCGGCCACGGGGGCGTGGGTGACACTGGGAAGAGCAGAGGATGGGCAGAGGACAGAGGGTGGAGGGGCAGAGGCGGGCGGTGGTTTCAGCAGCAGATGCACAGGAAGTCAGCAAGTTTTCTCTCCCCTCTCAGGGTGTATGATCACATGTGTGCTCATAGAACTTTAAAGACAAAACGGACTCTCTGTTCCCCTTATTTTGAAATTGGCTTTCATGTAATCCCAACTCTCTTTGACAACCCGCACGGGCAGGAATGTTCCAGCGGCCGGGATAGGCAGGGAGCTGCTCTCCGCTGGGGGCACCAGGCCAGGGTCAGGCCAGCAGTGAATTGGGTGCGTTAAAGGGCCAGGCCTGTGGAGAAATGCGCGGAGGAGAATGGGACAGGGAGCATGCGGGCCCCCAGGCATCGCAGGCCGACTTCATGCCACAAATATCTTTATGACGAAATGCACATTTAACCTGCATCATAAAAAGGCCCCGGAGAGCAGGCGATGCTGCGGTGTGCGGCGGGGCTCACCCCACAGTGACCCGAGGCCTCGCCTCACTGACGACTGCCTGCCCGCGCAGATGGCCCTCGTCCGGCTCTCAGTGTTGAGCCTCTGAGCAAAGTGGTTCCACACGGGGAGAAGTAGCGAGTGTGGAGGGACAGAGAAACAGGCAGTGCGTCCTAGGCACTGTGAACAGAAAGCATCCCGGTGGGAGCCTGAGCCGCAGGCTTTCCCACGGTCCAAGGAGAAGGCAGGTTTAGTGGTGCTGTCAGCAAGCACCAGTTGCTGGCCTAGTTGACGGGCACCAAGGAGAGTGCACAGCAGGAGGCCGCTGTCTGAACCTGTCCCAACAGTGGCAGGAGCTGTCGAGGTCACAGCTGTGTCCCAATGAAAGCTGAGCTACAGAGCAGAGGCAAACCCTGGACTCGCCACAGCGAGCAAGAGCTAATGTGTACAAAACAGGGCTGAGAACAGCAGGGTGGCAACAGGCTCCTGTGGACAGTGGCTGAAACGGAGGAGGTGACAGTCCCCATCACCACGGTCTGTGTTGTAGAAAGGAGGTTGGACACCAGAAGGCCTGGTGGGCACGTGGGAGCCAGTTCTGAGAAGACCTGAATAGGTATCACAGGGGTTGTTCATCCCCCAAGTCAAAGAGCCCAAGAAAGTGCCCTGAGCTGTAATAACCCAGGTCTACTATCCAAACCTCCACCAACACGCAGGTGTCGCCTTCAGCTCGGGCGTCACCCCAGCAGCCCTACCGCCAGCGCAGCCAGAGTGTCACCTCCCGGCTACGCCAAGAGGTGCCGCCGCTGGAGATGACAGAGGGTTCCCTGGGAGCGTACAGAGTGCCCCATGAGCCTGGGGTCAGGCCCTGGCAAGCTGCCTTGTCCGGCCTGTCTCACCTCGATTTGCTCTGGTGTGGCGCTCACAGCAGGGCCAGCACCAACTATTAGTGACAAACCGGTGAATTTAACAAGTGATAGTTGTGTTAGGATTTATAGAACTTAAAAAGTATTTGTTAGCACTTAAAATATTGTTCTTGAAGACCTACGGTTTTAGTTGAGGCTCATGGTGGCGGCAGCCATGTCAAGGGTGCCTCTGAGGCAGGTCTCTGAGGCGGTGCCCCTGCCAACCCCCTAGCACAGTGAGCAAGAGCCAGGATCTGGAGAGGTAGCTGTGGCCGGGGGGACTGGGCCTGCTGAATGAGGCTGACAGGCATGGAGGACAGAGGTGGGAGGGACAGGGCCATGCTGCGGAAGGTTGTGGGGCCGCAGGTGAGTGGGGGGGTGACAGGACGGGAAGGCGCGGCCAGCAGCCGGCAGGCCTGCTTGCAGCCTTGCAGCTGGGGTGATGTGGCCCAACCATACAGGTAGTGGGTATGGAGAGAATGGGCTCACACTTAAGACATTTGCCACACAAGCCTGAGAGAGCACCGTCTTCAGAAGGAGGCGGTGTCAGGACAGCACCTGCGCGAGGAAGGCTCAGGCCTGGTGGACATCTCAGCCGCAGGCGCTGTCAGGGACCGGCCTCAGCATCACCGAGACCGTGGGCCCGTGGCCCTGCAGGCCCTGCATTTTCCGAGTTCAGGTGATGTGCACACATGTGGAAGTTTGAGAAGCGCTGGGCGGCAGGAGAGTCAGGATGCAGCGGGGCTCACGGCGAGGAGGGTGGCTGAGGCCTCAGGAGGCCAGTGCAGGGGCAGAGTGGAGTGCGGGGAAGGCGCCAGCGCCCAGGGCCTCGCTGCGGAGGGCCAGGGCCCACCCACAATGCGGGCCCCGGCGGAGGATCTGCCAGAGCAGCAGCAGCAGGAGGGAGCAGAAGAGCAGCCAGGCTGCCGACAGGCGTGCGGCTGACTCCCGCCCCGTGTCTGGGGTGCGTCTACTCACTGGTGCCCTGAGCCTGAGGTGCGCGTGCTGAGGAGTGAAGTTTCAGAAACCAGACAGAGGACGACAGTCAGCGAGTCAGATGCTAGAAGCAAGCGGGAAAATTATGTACCTGTCTAATCAAATTACAATAAGCCCGTTGTTGTTAGGGGCTCCCTGGGGAGGCTGGTCGGCCCTGTAGCCTGGCAAAGTCTGCTGCCCCTGCTGGCCGCTTGCTTCCTCTCCAGCCGCCTGCCCGTGGTGACTCAGGTTCCCGGAGGCTGTTTCGCAGTATTCTGTGTCGGTGTGCGTGTTAGTGTGTGCGTGTGTGTCGCTGTCTGTGTTTCTCTGTGTCTGTGTGTCAGTGTCTGTGTCCCTGTGTGTCTGTGTGTATGCGTGCCTGTGTCTGTGTCTGTGTCAGAGTCTGTGTGTCTGCGTGTGTCTGTGTCTGTGTCAGAGTCTGTGTGTCTGCGTGTGTCTGTGTCTGTGTCAGAGTCTGTGTGTGTCTGTGTTTACGTGTCAGGGTCTGTGTGTCTGCGTGTGTCTGTGTTTGCGTGTCAGGGTCTGTGTGTCTGCGTGTGTCTGTGTTTGTGTGTCAGGGCCTGTGTGTCTATGTGTGTCTGTGTTTCTGTGTGTGTCTGTTTGGTGGAGAAGTATCTGCTCCGGGACAGGTGTCCATCAAATGTGAGACCCGCGCTGTTTCCTCAGTGTGGGATGGTACGTGGGGATGCCGGGAGTGATCTGGAGGAGGGCAGGGAGGGGACAGTGCAGCCCGAGTTCAGAGGCCTACGAGGCTGTCGCTCTCCCTGCCTCAGGGCAGAGGCTTGTGGTCCCGTCTCTCTGTAGGCCGTGCGCCCGCCATCTCGGTTTTACGCGGCATGCACCATGCCCAGAACCTCACCTCCCCGTGTCTGACGGCAGCGTGTGGGACAGGCCCTCGCGTTCCGGGGAAGTGTGTGCAGGGATGTCCTCCCTGCCCGGGGCTCTGACCAGCAGAGAGGGCTCCTCACAGCCGTCTCCGTCTCCAGGGAGTGATGGACATAAACTCATCCGGGCTCCACCCTGGTGCCTGCTCACCACCAGGGCCCACTCCTAAGCCCTGCTCTTTTCAAAGAATCGTGTCTCTCAGAATCCTCTGTTCCCACTAAAGGAAGAAACAGTCCTGTGGCCACGTTTGTCCAATGCTCTCTTTCCAGGGTCCATACTGAGCGCATGTGTTTGGAAAATCCGGTGACTATGAGGGCAGATGGGTGGACAGCTCGCTAGCCAGGGCTGCACCCCACTCCCGGGAAGGGCTCCCAGATGGGGCCCGGCTCCAGGGTTTGAAGGTTGGCAGTTTTACAACTTCCTGCTGCTCGGTGCTGACCTGTGTCCCCCTTTGTTTTGCCCAGGTGGACGCCGTGCGCCCTCGGCCGTGAAGGGAGGCAGGCATGGCTACAGGCGTGGCTGACCACCTGCCCTTCTTCTTTGGCAACATCACCCGGGAGGAGGCCGAGGATTACCTGGTCCAGGGTGGCATGAGCGACGGGCTTTACCTGCTGCGCCAAAGCCGCAATTACCTGGGCGGCTTCGCGCTGTCGGTAGCTCACGGGCGCAAAGCGCACCACTACACCATCGAGCGCGAGCTGAACGGCACCTACGCCATCGCCGGCGGCCGGGCGCACGCCAGCCCCGCCGAGCTCTGCCACTACCACTCCCAGGAGTCCGACGGCCTGGTCTGCCTCCTCAAGAAGCCCTTCAGCCGGCCGCCCGGGGTGCAGCCGAAGACAGGACCCTTCGAGGACCTGAAGGAGAACCTCATCCGGGAGTATGTGAAGCAGACCTGGAACCTGCAGGTGAGCGCCGCGCCCTCGCAGCCACAGCCGGCGGCGCTTGCGGGCCTGCAGCTGCACCCCCAGGTGTGGGCCGGCGGGGCTGCCTCAGATAGGCAGCCTCCGCCGTGAACCTGGAGCGAGCAGGCTTCGCTCCAAGGCGGCCTGTCCTCTTCCTGGTCACAGCTGAGAGGGCGGCCCCACCCCAGGGGGTGGGTCTCTCCTCCTCAGGCCTTCAAACGTCTCCTGGGCGTTCTTTACCCCAGGGGGTTGTGCTCCACGGAGGATGGGACTTGGTTTTATAGGCCTGTGACCTCTCTCAGAATGTCTGTGTCAGCACACTTATTTATTAGTCTGCTGTGGCTGCCCGATCGATAATCCCTCGTAGGCACCGTAATTGATTCAACTGGTTCCCGCTGATGGACACTCTCATTGTTTACAAACAGTGCTGTTGGGACCGTCCCTCAGCACCCGTCCTCCTGAGCTGTCAGGCAGCGTCTGCAGGAGAGACCTGAACGGCTGGGTTTGCCACAGTGAAGGGTGTGTGTGTTTAATTTGTGTGTACTGACAGTGTCATCACAAAGGTCCCAGAGGCTGTGATGACTGTCTCCTCCTCAGACTGTGTCAGCCACTCCTCGGAGCTCCGGGTGGCCGCTGTGTTCCGCGGTGCTGTCCAGCACGTTCAGGGCTATGACTGGACACGCTTTTGAGAATTATGTGCCGTGATTCTCTTTTCACTCCTGTGGTACGTTCTGCACTAAATTCAACCTCGCAGATGTGTAGCGATGCTGTGTTCCCAGTGTTTTCATCAGCATCTCTTGCTGTGTGACCGACCATCCCTTTTTAAAGTCAGGAAAATCAGATCCACTGAGTTGTAGTTTACACATCGTAAGGCCATCCTTTATGGGTGTACAAGTCTATGAATTTTGACAAACACACAGTATAACGTGGTCCCGTGGCAGTCAAGATATGCAACAGCTCTATTACCTGTCGAGCACCCTGTGCCAGCCCCAGCCCAGCCCCAGAAGCCCCTCATCTGATTTCCATCCCATAGTTTTGCTGTTTCCAGACGCCCTATAAACGAACCCACACAGCACAAGGCCCTGCCAGAGTGGCCTCTTCCACTGGGTGCGGTGCACCCGTAAGGCACTGGGGCAGCGAGGCAGGTGGCCGCCTGCAGAGCTCTCTTTGTCCTGGGTGAGTGAGCCCACACCCTTCCACTCTGGCCTCACTTGCTTTGCTTTTCAGGCCTCTCTGGTGGGTGAGGTATCACTGCTTTGGTTTTTTATTTCACTTGTGAGGCATGACAAAATTCCCACCCACACCTGTCTGCCTTCTCCCCTCCTTTCCTCTTCTCGTTGGGGTCAGTTAGATTTTCATTTCATTTCTTGTGATTCTTTGTATAACTTCAAATAGTCAAACTTGGCTCTTCATTTATGACTATGCAGAACATGTGTTTCTCCCCCACTTAGAATGAGGATGCAGATTCACTGCGCAGCCAGCTCTCCCACATTTTGTCTCTGTGCCAGTCATGTCCACAGTGTGGTGTCATCCTGTACTGTCTGTGGTCAACACCACCCGAGTTACAGGCGCAGAGTGTTGGCACGGAGTGTGGCCTTTGAGCAGAGGGCACACGTCTTAATGCTTCTTAATCGTTAGTAGATGATCAGTTCTGTACAGAACAATCAGCTCTCTAGACAACTGACCCAGGGAGGGCATGGCATGTTCTCTTGGCCTCTTGGGTTTTACCAGGTCAGTTCTCAAGCTGCTGGCACTTCTGGAAGGCCAGTACATCTCAGTGTTCTAAAGTCTACCTTGTCTCCACACTGGAGGGTATTTAAATAATCCGTAAAATCTCGCTGGCTTTTTTTTATTGAGTGAATGAACAAACACACACGCTCAACTGTGTTTTGCCATTTCAAAACTCAGAGCAGGCAGGGAGCAGCTTCAGTGCCATACTCACTGCTCTGCCCCTCTCCCCCCCACCCCCTGGCAGGGCCAGGCGCTGGAGCAGGCGCTGGAGCAGGCAGGAAACGGTTTCAGGGCCATGTTCACTGTTCTGCTCTCCCGGCAGGGTCAAGCTCTGGAACAAGCCATCATCAGCCAGAAGCCCCAGCTGGAGAAGCTGATCGCCACCACGGCCCACGAGAAAATGCCCTGGTTCCACGGGAAGATCTCTAGGGATGAGTCTGAGCAAATTGTTCTCATAGGATCCAAGATAAATGGGAAATTTTTGTAAGTAGTGTATTTTCTCCTTTCATCCCACCCACCAGCCAGCTGGGACCGTCAGGGATATCTTGGGCTTTCCATTGCTAGACCCACCCAACCAGGGAGGGGCCCTCTTATGTGGCTTGGGAGGCGTTTCCAGTCAAAGCCACCCCTGCAATTCAGCATTTGTTTTGCCCAGACTGACCCCAAAGTGAGCACTCTTCTTAGGCACTGAGGGACATAACTTAAAGATAGTGCCGTTGAGCTCCGTGTCTGTCTTTAATGGCAAATGCAGGCTGCATAGCAATGCCTGCAGCTCTCCTTTCAGCCCAGAGACAGCACAGTGTGTGCACTCACGTTTCCCATGAGGTCACGGACTTTCCTTCTGTCCTGCCTGGAACTAATGCCAAGAGAGCGGATATTGAAGAAAGTTCATGGGAGGCTCACGGGGAAGGTAACACTGAATTTTTCCCACCAATTGCATTTTTTAAACTTCTACCAGTTTTATTTGTTGTTGTTTTTGCTATTGTTTCAAATATCCATGAGCATTTTTTGAGAGTATTTTATTGCTTGCTAGTTTTTGTGATTGCATCTTTTGTTTTTTTTGAAGATTTCATACATAATTAATCTATATTTTATATTTTTTTAAAAGCTTTTTTTTAAAAAAGAAATATCTTTTTTGATTTCAGAGAGAGAGATAGAAACATCAATGATGAAAGAGTCATCATTGATCGGCTGCCTCCCACATGCCCCTGACTGAGGATTGAGCCCGCAACCCAGGCATGTGTCCTGACCGGGAATTGAATCCTGATCTCCTGGATCCTAGGTCACTGCTCAACCACTGAGCCACACTTGGCTGGGCACATATTCCATATTTGATTATTACGGTACTGAAAGTCCTTGGGGATATCAATCTCCATCTCTCCTGCTCTCTCTCCCTATGCCTCTCTCATAACTCATGTTTCCTTATGTTTTTGGGTGATCTTTTTGAGCTCGTACTTGGTTACTATTCACTTGTAGGTATCTGGAGTGTCCAGGGTTGGGAATGCTGTTCTCCAGAGCTGAAGAGGTTTCCTTTTTCTCTAGTCTGTGCTTGAGTGCGGGACACGGGCTCAGCTGTCCCCTGGCTGCTGGCCCAGGATGCTGTCCCTTTGTCCACTGCAGTGCTAATACTGGTATCAACCCTTAGACCAAACTCACATTTTTTGCTCTTATTTGCCACTCACCTTTCCCTGCTCAATTTTCAACTCACTTTTTGCTCGACACTTAAATTTCAAAAGCAAATGTGGGTGTGGGAAAAATTTTACCCTTGTTCATTGATGAATAAGACGGTGTATGGCTGTCTTGAGCCTTAAATGTGAAAATAAAAGCTAAATTCTATCGGCACCTTCGTGAGCTGCCAGCGTTGATCAAAGTTCACCACTTCATTGGACTTGGGTGGTTTTGTAGCTGCAGGTAAGCACAAATAATCCCAACCTGTCTGAAGTAAAAAGTGCAAAGGGGGCAGTGGATGGATGTCAGTATCAGGACCTCTTATCAAGGTCCCCATGAAGCTGACAGAGAAGAGTGACCCAGTTCCGGCCCATGAACTAGTGCCCAGGGAGAGGAAGAGGGGGATCTGTGATGAAGTCTCTAAAAGGCAGATGTGGGAGAGAGCTTGGCCTGGCCCCAGCTTTGGATCTGTGCTCTGTCCTGATCCTGCTTTCACTATTTATATGGAATTCATGTGTGCCTGGATTTTGCTGTGGTGCAAGGCAACAGCATCCAGGTGCTGCATTTCTTATGTCTTTTCTGAGTCATTAGGGCTGGTACCTCTTCTGAGTCAGGGGCTCATCTTCATATCAGCATGCACACCGCCCAGCACAACCCACAAACTCTCCTGCCCTGCTCCCAGCTCTCTGTCTCTTTGAGAAGCCGCTGCTGGGCCTCATATGGCAATATTTGACCACCTGATACAGTGTCAGGCCCGGACAGGAGGGTGAATGCTGGCCACAGATGCCCCTGCTGTCATCTGCCAGACCCCCGACCCCAGTGGCCATCATCATATGCATGCTGCCCATCCCAGGTACCCTCCTTCCCCCCCAGCAACCACGCTCTGCTCTGCCCCAGGAAACCACAGATAGGAGAGTGAGATGCCTGGTGGGTGGGATGTGCCCCAGCTGTTCTGTTCCGCCTGCAGCAGACACTGCAATGTCCCGGCACCTTGGCGGGTGAAGGCCACCCTGAGGGTCCCACCACCTCCCGCGTCCTCACTCCCCGCCCCCTAGTGTCAGGGCATCACCACCTTCTCTCTGATCTGGGAGGACCTAGGGGTTCAGCACCCCCGCCCCATGAAACCAGCATTCTCTCCCCAGCCCCGCTCATCACAGGGCCTACAGCTTCCACCTTGGGGGGGGGTGGCTTTCCTGCCCTGGCACCAAGGAGAGTCTCATGCAGCATGACAGTAAGGCAGCTGTGCAGCCCAGCTCCACATCCAGGCAGCAACACCCACGCTCTACAGCTAAACACGGATCTGTTGAACTTGACTCTTCCCAGAGACCATTGGGAAGAGGTGTGCCAGGGCGTGCAAGCGTGCCAAGGCATGGCACGGCGGCTAAAGGCAGCAGCCCCGAGAGAAACCTAAAGGCTGGACTTGGCTCTTCCCCGCTCTGGGGCCTGTGTGACAAACCTGCTGGGGGTGGGGGCAGAGGGGCACTTTCCTGAGAAACAGGGGCCAAGAGGAGGTGCTGCTTTGGCTTCCAAACCAGTGTTTCCCCTATTTTAGATTTAAAATAGCCCAGCCCAAGATCTGCCTGCAGCCAGCAGACACCTCACAGTTGATGGCCGTTAATGTCACCAGGCCTCTGGTCTTTGCCGCCTACAGCTGTTGGGCCTGTGGGTTTCCCTTTCTGTGCCCTCGTTTCCTGCCAGCTGGGCGCTGCTCAGGCTGCATGTCCACAGCCTGTCCCCATGCTGCCATCCTTAGACTGTGCTCACAGGGTAATTGTCCCCACTGTTGCCCTGGGAATGGTCACAGGCTGGAGCTACAGGAGAGAGACCGTCCTCGGGCCCTGCTCTCTGGGGGCCTCAAAGGAATGTGCGCCTTTGCAGCCGTCGCTGCCCAAAAGCAGACACCTGTTTCCACCTCACACCAGCTTTTTTCATACTGTTTTTATGATGAAATATAAAGCACACAAAAGAGAGTGCCTCCATCTGTGCAATGAATAATTATAGAGCCAACACCACTGGAGTCCAGGAAGCAGACCCCAGGTCTCAGAAGGCCCCTGCTCACATCCGCCCCCGAGGACACCACTTCCTGGGCTCCTGTGTCCAGTGTGCCTTCACTGTCTTCTTCCTGTTTTGTTTTGTTTTTAACTTTTTAATGTTTATTTTACCACCTAAGACCTAGTGTGCACCTCTGAACAAAACCATTTGCTTCGCCTGCTTGGGAACTTCGCGCGTGGGGAACCCTGGAGAGGGTTTTATGCTCGTGAACGTCCTCTGCGCTCCGTGACGGCTGCCTGCCCCTTTCTGCTCTGTGGCTGTCCACCCTGTGAGTGTCTCACTCGCCGGCAGTGAGCACGGGGTGTTCACAGTTTCTGGTGGCTGCAGATATGGTCTGGTGCAGAGTGCAGAAACTCTGTGTACCTGGGGGTGCCCTGCTGACCCACAGGGTATGGATAGGTTCGATTTCAGCAAAAATTCCCAGTCGCGTTTTCCAAAACAGCTAGATTCACACTCCTGCCAGCAATAAACAGAGGCGCTTGTGGCACATTCTCAGCAACACTTAGTGTGATCAAGTCTTGTAAGGTTTGCCCTTGAAAATGTTGTCCCATGGGTCCGTTTTCCCATTGTGGTCCTAATGGGCATTTCCCAGATTTCTAATGAAGTGGCTGTACCCTCTCCCTGGGCAACCTGTCACCCTCTGTCCCAGTTTTATCAAGAAAATGCCAACCCAGGCACGAGGCAAGGTGGAGTGGTGGAGGTCGGACATAAATCTGAAAACCAGAATTCAGATCCCATTTACTGTTCCTGGACTCGGAGGTCAGGATGTGAAGGGCTCTAACTGAAGAACAGAGACATTCGGAGTGGCCTGTGGACACTGCACTCCTACCATCCGTTTGCATGTATCCACATATGTTCTTAATGCTTAGTGTTAAGACTTTATGTAGTTCTTATACCTCTAAACCATATTACTTGCTTACCACCAATGTTTATATATAAACAAAACCCAACTAGCCATCTATTCCACACTGGAAAGTAGACTCAGTTCTCCCCTGGGTAAAAACATGTTTTGCCTTCTCTGTAGGGTTGGTTCTTAGTTTGACAGCAACCGACTGGCCTTCATGGGCCGCGTGGCTGGGAAGTGTAGCTCAGGCTTTAGGGTGCTGCGACCTGGGAGGGTGGGAGGAAGGGGCTGTTGTCAGGGTGCAGAGGCTCCAGAAGTGGCCTTACCAAGGCCCAGAAGGATCTGTGTGTCCCTCCACCCACGCCAGATGCCCGGAGCCCCAGGGCGTGGAGGGAACCCGTCCATTGTGCACAGCTGAGCACGACCTGAGAACTTTATTTTTAAACCAAGCTCCACCCCACACACCATAGCTAAGCTCTTAAGTCTCGGGTGAGCTTTTGAGATGAATCTATACCACCGAGGACAGGAAGGTATGGCTATATCTGTCCAAAGCCCATCTAGTGTGACCGGTTGTGATTGGAGGAGGCATCACAAATGTCCCCAAAGCGCAGACAGCCCTGGCATGTTGGCACATTCGAACTCTCCCCACAATGTAGTGCACTGGGGCACTTAGCATTTGGGGCCTCCGCTGTTCCCTGGTTTTAGAAAATGTCGGGTGGCGTAACTGGGTCCCACCTCTGACCCACTCTCTCAGATCTCATGATCCAACTGCTCGGGTTGCTTGAAGGGGAAAATAGGCTGAGGGTGGGGGTGGCGAAACAGCTAAGTGGGGGGGTCACTCCATTCCTTTGCAGCCCCCCTCCCAGCCTTGCCAGGAGGCCTGTCTCTTCCCTGGGGGCAGAAGTCCTTTCTCTTGTGCATTGTAGTGTGTGTTCCTGCTGGTTGTTGGACTCACAGGCCTCATTCCCTTGGATAAGGGAAGGGGTATCACCCAGTGACCCCACTGGAATGGGGAAGCAGAGCCAGGCAGTCTCTGATCTTGCCTGTCCCCCCCAGGGGATGGCATTTCCTTCTCTCAGTGACTCCATCTCACCGTGTCATATGCAGCCACACTGAAGGGAGAGTGTGAGGGAGTGAAACAGGACCTGGGAGTAGGAGCCCCAGCAGTTCCTAGTTAAAATGCCCATCAACCCCCCACCGAGCTGGGCTGGGAGCAGCATGGCTGGGACTCTGGCCTCAGTAAGGAGAGGAGGCGGGCGAAAGGGCTGCACAGACCCCGCCTGGCCCGGGTCCCGTAGGTCTCTAGGGCTGGTGCCCTGAGCAGCTCTGCCGCCCCAGGTGAGCCTCAGCTTCCCCTGACGCCCCTGGGGCTTCGGGCCTCCTGCGCGTTGGCCACAGGGTTTCTGTGACGAGCTCTTGGTGCCCCGAGCTGTGCGTGGGGCCTCCCTGGGCAGGGTGGGCAAAGCCCTGACCCTGAGGTGGGAGCGCTGCGGCTGCGGCCGGCTCAGGGCGCTGCCGGCGGGGGGAGACCCGGGGTGACGGGCTTCCCTCTCCCCCAGGATCAGGGCGAGGGACAGCGGCGGGTCTTTCGCGCTGTGCCTGCTGCACGAGGGGAAGGTGCTGCACTACCGCATCGACAGGGACAAGACCGGCAAGCTCTCCATCCCCGACGGCAAGAAGTTCGACACGCTCTGGCAGGTGCGTGGGGGGGGCAGCCCGGAGCTGCTAGGGGAGCCTGCGGGCCGCCCGGGGCCTGCCCAGCCAGGGCCCGCCTCCAGTCTCCATGTGCGGCGCACAGCAGCGTCCAGGCTCGAGAGTGTGCTCCAGAGCCCTCGGGACAGGAGTGAGGCTGGAGGCTCTGCGGCTTCCCCGGGGCAGCCGGCGCTGGGAACCTCAGGGGGCGCCGCTCGGGCTGTGTGCAGGAGAGCTCAACAGGGGCCTGCCTGGGGGCTAGAAACGGCCTTCCAGACACACACGCGCACACACACACGCACACACGCGCACGCACGCAAACACACGCAAACACACACGCACAGCAGGAAGGTGTGTTTGGGAAGGAGCGGGGAGATGCTGGTCACACTCACTCTGTTGGGAAAGGTTAGGTTGAATATAAGTGTCGGTGTCATTCTTGCTGCAAAATGAGTCTCCCCTGAAATGAAGCCGCTTAGGCAGGAAGGCAGCATCCCTGCGCTGGGACAGCGCCTCCCTGGGGCCGCTCCACTCTAAGGCCCTTACTCTGAACTATTAGTAGCCCGGAAACAATCACAGTGTGGGAGTTGCTTCAGCACAGGGAGCACTGAGCCCACGCTCACTGCTGTTTTCCATGGGCCGTCATGAGCATAACTAGCTTGTATTTTAAATCAGGGCTGTGTGCAGAAATGACAGCCTGGCAAGTGAGATTTTAGCAAACGTAGTGGGGCAGAGACAGAGAAAGCCAGAGACTTTGCTGCCCGGACAGCAGCTGCTGCACCGGGCTGTTGTGGGCGAGGGGTGTGTGCGAACGGCCGCACCCAGGCCACCCCAGGAGCCTCCTGTGGTGTCAGCAAGGAGAGGTCCCAACTCAAAATCTCGTCTTTGTAAATACTGAGACCAGGGATCCTCCTTACCTTTAATGCACTTCAGTAACCACCACCTACTGTGTTTTCTTTCCTAATGCTGTTGTTAGAGAAAGAAACGCTTCTTTCCCAAATGCTGACTATCACAGTATTATTCGTATCAGTTACAACATTGACTTGTCTTTTGACTTGTAGCTCGTCAGCATATGGCTCATTACTGACCACAGACTTTGCTTTATTTTAATGGTATCAATTTGAAAGAGCACTTGGCCCATCAAGTAGCCCACTGCAAATTAAAGAGAGGAGTAGAGAACGCTGCCTTGCGCTATTACTTTCCCACCAAAGTCTCTCGACTCTACATGACGTGTTGACGGTGTGGCTGTTTTCTCCAGTGCGTCCCCTCACAGTTGCAGAGTCTGTCACTCCTACAGGGCTGAATGTCTCTGCTTGTTTATTTGTCCCATGTTTATTGATTTCTATGGCATATGATAGTAGTCAGCCCTAATTAAATCCTTTCCATTGTATGTTTTCTAGCCACTGTGCTTAGGAAAGAGCATTAAAAATGCTAGAACTACCTTTCATTTTTACAGGTGTGATTTCATGGGTTTTTCTCAACAGCCCTGCTCCACCCGGGAGTCTGTGCTGTTTTTGAGCTTTTGTAATTCCTTCACAGCAGTCAGCAAGTGCTTGTTTGGGTGTAGTCCCTGAGGAGAGTGGCTTGTGTACTTTAAAGGGTTATTTTAGATAAAGACTATGTGACAGAGATAGTATGTGGCCTAGAAAAGCCTAAAATATCACTGTCTGGCCCTTCACACAAAAAGTTGGCAGACCCCAGCCCAAATGGGGAATCCCTACATGTACACCCAGCACAGCCACCCTGTAGAATAGACTGCCGGAAAACACAGGCATCGGATGGGGGTTTGAATGACGCTGGAGAGATGGGCAGCCTGTGGACTCCTGTCCTGAGTCTGAGGGTGAGAGGATAGGGACGTGGGGAGGGGTCACGCAGACCCCTCCTTAACCAAGGAAGTAAGGGCTGTACTTGTCACCAGGGTTGTCCTTGAATCACTTTTAAGTTTGAGAGGGGAGCCAGCGGCGCCAGGTAGGGCTCCCTCTCCTGCCTGCGGTATTTATCACACTGTCTTCCTTTTTTCCCTTTCAGCTGGTCGAACATTATTCTTACAAACCAGATGGTTTGTTAAGAGTTCTCACAGTTCCATGTCAGAAAATCGGCGGGCAAGCGGGTGAGTCACTAAGACCCTGGAATTTCTGTCTTTTAGGAAATAATAATAATCTGATAATAGCCAGCCTTGTTTTAGATCCGGCCCGTTGCAGATTCCGGTGGGACCACGAGGCTTTGTTCTTACTGATTGATTAAAAATGTCAGATTGTTCCAATTTTACATATATCATTGATCAAAAAGTAGCCAGGAACTAACTTTAAAAAAACTAGTGCCAGTCGCATGGGTGAGAAAGTGGAGTAGAGATGATAATAAAAAGAAATGCCTGCGGAGGCTGTCACTTTTCAAGGAGCAGCGCTTTCCCACCACATTGCTGGGCTGAGTGGGAGGGACTGGGTGGTTCTCAGGAGAGAGCAGTAATCTCCACGCTTTCTCACCAGGACATGTTAATTTTGGAGGCCGTTCACTCCCGAGCTCCAGTCCTACGGTAAGTGTTACTCGAAAGACCGCCGGAAGTGAAGCAGTTGTGGGTTAGCATAGTGAAAGGCATGTTTGCTACTAGGCGTAGGGGTAGTTGGTTTTTTAATCACACCTGATAAACTGGGGTTGCTGGTGTCAGCTAGAATCAACCTGTTTCCAGCTCCAAGCTGGCCAAGTTACTTTTTTTAGTGGGTTAAATTCTCTCCATTTCCTAAAAGTATACAAAACGACCATGCAACCCAATGTTAAATCAGAAAGAGGCCTCCTGGCAGGTTTGGGAGATGGCAACGTGCTGTGCAGGCTCAGTCTGAACCGTCCCTGTGGGCATGACCCACCTGGGCACGCGCACAGCTGGAGGAACGGGCCTGGTACACAAGGTGTCTCAGTGATGCTTTCGGCCCGATTCGTTTGGCTAAATCGACCACGATGTTGTTATGGGAAGACTTGCCCTCTCCAGAAGGGCTGTTTGCCAGTGGCTGAGCGGAGGAAGGCTTAGGAAGGGGCACTTGATGGCATCAGAGAGAAGCAGAGATGCCAGTGGGAGGCCCGAACCCCCCCCCCACTCCCTGTCAGCAGGAGGTGAGACTGCTCCCTGCAGACTGCTAGGAGCTGACACACAGTGTGACTCAAAGCATGAGTTGATTCCCTGCTCCTTTTGGAGGCCCTCGTGTGGACCTTAGGTTCCCTTTAATATCATCCGTGAGGGGTAAAAATCACCCCTTTGTGAGCTGCGTGCTCTGCACCTCACTTGTTGTCTATGAACCCTTAAAGAACCTGCAGAGAGCGGATGCACTTTCGGCCCCCAGTGGGGACCAGTGACTGCGCAGAAGCTGTGTCTGCCCTGAGACTGGGAGGCTCTCCGGGGCAGCGCGTGTCACCGGATTGGGAGACCTGGGATTTGCTGAATGTCAGTGAGCTTTAGGATCAACATGTGAACTATAGCACCTCAAGAGGCCATTTTATTTTACTCTTTACGTGGCTCATGGGCCTGTCAGCTCTGCTTTACCACGTGTGCTCCGCGGGACAGTCCTTTTCCTCGAAGATGGATTGGGCTGAGAGCTGTAAGAGTATCAAGCCCTATATCTAGCCACATACCACCCAGTGGCTTCAAGAGTTAGATTTTTTTGGAAGGACTTTTTGTTGACGGATGAGATGCGCATGCCCTGAGTGTTTCCCTAGTGAGTCCTACAGACACGTGGAGCCCACACCCGAAGGAGGAGCACACCGGGGCTGTCAGACTAACTTTCAGCTTCTTTAGAAGGATTTACCTGGAGTTTTCCACTTAACTATTCTCTGTGAAGCATGGGCTATTTAATGCAACATCCTTTTGTGGAAAATAGTGCCAAAACGATTTTCCAGGTCCCTCTGCACAGGGCCCAGCTTTCCTTGAAGTGTGAACGTTTCCTGATGATCCCAGGAGAATCAGTGAGCACAGCCGGCGGAGCTGGCATTGCGGGTGTAAATCGAGTTAAAGTAGCCTGTGATGTGTTTGCTTTCTGAAACATTGACTCTTCCTCTTATGATTTCTAGATGTGGTCAGCGGGTGGAATAATCTCAAGGATCAAATCATACTCCTTCCCGAAGCCCGGCCACAAAAAGGTGCTAACGCATCCCCTGCTTACTGTCCCTGACTGCGCGGTAGGACTGCCCCGGCCCGCGCTGCGCTGCCCCCTGGCCACCCGCCCTCCGTGAGCC